TCAACTGTGTTGTCAAGACTCACAAACTGAAGCAGGATCATTTACACAAGTGTAAACCATGTGTGTCATCGGTTACGAAGTTTCCCAGTGATCAATATGTGGTAAAAACCACAACCAACCACAACCACCTCTCCAGGCTTTCAACCTAAAAACTGAACATTTTAATGAAGAGGAAAGTCCAAACCTCAAGGATGTGGTTTGTAACCAAACTTCTTTTATTACCAAAACACCACATGTCACCTTTTATGTCAGCTCAGGGGACAGGCTTATTTAAAGCAATGGTGCAAGAGTTTTATAAATTTCATACAAACCTTTATGCTTAAGTACACATTGGTGCAAACACTACATTACGCAAAAGGCAAATATTTTAAAAGAAAGTATCAGCGGGAACACATTTAAAATGAATAGAACTGAACCAAAAGAGGCTGAAATCTAAACTTTTGAGAGTTTCCTTGATTAGCTCTTTAGCTCGTCACAGGTTTGTTTTTGATTGTTGAGAGTGACATCACAAAAGGCTCAACTGCCAACATCTGAGATGTTATAATCCAATGATGTATTAGTCACCATGGTAATGGATACGGACATACAATCAAACATTGATACAAGCACCTATTAGAAATGAAGAGGTATTTTTTCCAGCAAGAACGTGTGTTCTACCAAAAGGTGTTTGACGAGAGAAAAGTCGTTAATTTATGGGAACAGAGTTAAATGTTTTCAAGAATAAAGTCATAAATGTGTGAGATAATGTTGTGATATTTGTATAAATGTAAAAGGATGTGAAACTAGCCAGGTTGTGATTGAGATGCTGATGAAACAGAGGTACCTTAATACTAACATATAACTTCCCCACCTTCATCATTCTGACGCACTTATAGTTAACGCTGCGTGCTTAACCCCGCCCCTCAAAGCACGTCTAAATTTACGACTTTAATTTCACAATTTATGATTTTATTGTTGTGAATTTATGACTTTAATCTCATAAATTTATGACTATGTTTATTTTAGTTTTTTTATCACCAATGTGGCCCTAATTCTCTTCTTATACTTCCTATAAATACTTGAAACTATGTATCACAATATCAGTCTGTTTGCACATATTAATTTTTAATGTGATTTGGTGCTTCACAAAAACAGATTTAGTTTTTGTTGCATTAATATTGACCTTTCTTAAAATGGTGTTTATATAAAATTATGGGAAGAGAGTCAAATGATTTAAATCAGGACATGATAATTACAACGACCAAAGTACATTTTAAAGAGGTTAGCACTAAAATAAAATAATTGAAGGTCGAGAGCAACGAAGAGGCAGTGAAGGTGGATGATTTAGAGTCCATCTCTCGGGTCAACCTCTCAGAGTAATGGACAATTAATAGACTGCAGAGAGGAGGTGAAGAAGAGGCTGTAGGTAGGATGGAGTGGACGGAGACCAGTGTCGGGGGTGAGTTAAGACAAAAGGACTGTAGCAGGACTCAACGAGAATTCAGGTCTGCTACGATGTACAGTTTGAAGGAAGCGGCACTGCATAAAAGACAGGAGGCAGAGCTGGGAGTCGCACTGTTGAAGATGATGAGGTCTTCATTGTGTGTAGAGTAATGAAAGAAAATGAATGGTTAAGTTGAGGACGGAAAGTTGGGATGAGTTGAACATGTATGTACTGTATGTATCTTGAAAAAATATTAGACATTTAAATTTCAGGATAATTAAATATAAAACTGATGATGTAGTCAGGAAGACTAAGTCAGGTCCCCAATCCTGTCCCTTTAATCTCAGCACAGTTATGTAACTGTACTGAGTGTGAAGATTTGAATTACTTTTAATAAAACCAAAGCGTTCTTGAAGTTCCCCCGGTAAATTATAATATATGATTTATAGAAATCGAGAGCCGGGAGCTTTAAGCTACTTCATCACATTTACCACATATAGATGAGACCGCGTTTTCAGGAAGGAGGAAGCAGATGTCTCAACAAATCTAATTGAGTTTTATAAGAGCACTCAGTGAAAAGTGCTGCACCTCAGAAGTATCACCTTACATTCACTGCCCATTTAAGCCATTGTGTAATCCAGTCAGTGTGGTTATGATACTCTTAATCAGGTTATTTGGATTCAAGTCAATCTGTTCATTTCCTTTTTTTGTGTAACAGAGAGGACTGTTTGAGTTTTTTTTTTGTTTCTTTTTTTATGATGCCAGTTGGCTAAAGATGAATGGACTTGGGAAAAGCCTGGGAGTCAATCTGACTCAGAGATCTGGAGCCCATTAGCTGCTCTTTTTTACCTGCCATCATCTCCCTTTTCAGGTGCCCAGCATATGTGATGGACAGAAATGCAGTGGGGGTCAGGGACGGGGGGTCTTTTCTCTCTTTTTTCTCTTTTGAGTTTTTGTTGGCTTTTGTTTTCTGAAATTGAGTTCAGTTGTACCAAATCCTTTGGAAATTAATAGACAAGCCAAACCATTTGCAGCGTGTCTCGATGGTAGTGATGTACAATGAGATCAAGCTTCACTCATGGTGAACATAAAAGAAGTTCAATGAAAATCCCATAATAGTCTGGTGTTCAAAGGAAAAATGTATTTGGTATAAATTAACATGAATTTGCCACATGTGAAAATAAGTTAGATATGTGTTTAAACACAGCAACCTAAAGGTCACATGGGAATATGAACTGCAAATTATATTTTGTCAACTGGCAACATGAAACCTAGCAACATCTGTGCTGTACTCAAATTGTGTTAGTTAGTGCGTTTGGCACAAAGTCGGGAAAAAAGTAGCTATGTTCTCAGGTATAATAAAATACATTTGTTGACTTTAGTGGAAAAAAGAACTTATAAATAAAAAAACATTTATTCTGAATTTACCAAAGAGCTACACTAAAAAAAACAAACAAAAAAAAAAACATGGTAAAATGATATGCGGTAGTAAAACGGTTGGCAGCAGGAGGAGGCTTTGAGAAAAGCACAGCTGGACAGATTTCAGACTGAAACCCATCACAGACTGGTGACAGGTGTCTTCTGGCACTGACATTTAGATACCAGAGAAGGAGATGGATGTCAGCAAGGGGAAGAGGAAGGTAGACATCATATCTGGGGGAGACACCTTGTCAAGAGCATTAAGAAACAATATATATTTTTAGCTGAGTTTATTTTAAACTTACATTGCCAGTCTTGAAAACAAGTAAAAAAATAAATATAGTGCAATGAAAGGACCTGGACATAGGTGACAAAATGTGAGACACCATTACAGGAAATGGTGACTACCCTTTCCAGCCTGTCATATTCAGACTGGAAATACGTCCGAGGTTATTGAATAAATTGATTTGTATTGCCCTTTGCTGTTGGCTGCTCTGATGCAGAGAACTATTAATGATTTCTTTTAGCTGTCAGGGGGGCGAGACACACAAGACCTGCGCAGACTATTAGTCTACAGCTGGTGTTATGAAAAGGGCAGGAGGGAAGACTGTTGATGTATGACACATCGACATGGCAATAACAACACCTGTTAATACTATACCATCAAATACTAGAGCCATGGGGAGATATTACATGACATTACTGAAGCTTTGAATGTCCTCCTTTTAGGACAACTCAAAGGTCATAGACAAAGCTCAAAGACAAAAAATAAGGTCATCTCCAAAGTGCAGTGGATCTAAAATTTTTAATTTGTTTTGTATAAACAAAGTGCATTGTGACATTCAGACAATTAATTTTAAAATCAAATTGGTTTTAAATTGGTCCTAAGAAGGTTTACCGATCTTTTATATCACATTTTGTTTAATTTCCATCAACTTGAAGTAATTATTTTACTTATAACATATGGATTGTATATTGAATATTCAGCATGTCTCCAGTTTTGATTACTTTTCTATGTGTGCATGGTTACTGCATGCGATGCTGATCAATGTAGTACCTGATGTAGTACACACAGAGTCACAGGTGGGAAACTATCAAAGGTGAGTGGCACCTGTGGACCAAACTATGAGAAAATAAGTAACACTCTAGAAAAGAGTACAGTATTGCCATGTCAGAAAACTTTGACAGGGAACATGCCACAAATGGGGAAAAACATAACTTCACTCTTGGGGCTGGATTTGATAGAAACCTGATTCCTGTGTTTTCAGTTCACTTGTGTCGTCTATAGACTTTTATCCTATTTGATTTTCAAACACATTCCTGACGTACGACTGGTTTCAATTCTATGGTATTCATATGGATATGATGAGTACCAAAGAGAAACAGCCCGAACCGTAGTGAAATGAAGATTCGTATATCTTAGTTGAAATCAAAACAAGCAATCATCAAGGCTGCATCAAAAGAGATTTTAACCTAAGGGCTGGGTGACACAGAGCCCAAAGATAATATCCTTGATGGCCACAGTAATATTGCATAAATAAAAAAAATAAAAATAATTGCATTTCCAGTATATATACAGTATACGCATCTGAAAATATTTAAGAAGTAGAAGATTAGAGATTGTTTTTCAAAAGCATCAGGGATATTATCAGCTAACAGATACGCTCTCAGATGGAGGGACAGACAATGTGGACCTCATTATGTCCGATGTTAAACTCTTTAAACTAAAATGTAACACTCAGGTTACAGTGTTAATGCACTTATTTAGCTACAGGCCAAAGGGTCAAACTGGGGTTCTAGTGTACATGTCCTTGTTAGTAGGACACAGCTATTGTGAACGTTGCTATCTCACATCAGTTGTAAACAGCTTTGCAGCATTCTCTTCTTTCTCCCCCCTTCCTCACACATTTAAAGTCGTCCCCCTCCACACTTCGGAATAATGTCGCTGTCACTGTTTTGGGGGATGAAGGGGAGAGAGGGAGGTTTAACCCGGTCACAACGTGGGCAAGTTGCGCACCGTTTTTCGACGTTGCCATGGTTTTTATTTTAAACCTCCCCTCATTGACTGCAATAGGGTTCCTTCTTTTCTTTGAGTCTGTCTTTGTGCAGGAGAAGGGAAGGAGGAGGAGGAGGAAGAAGAAGGAACCGCTATTTACTTTTTCTGGCAGAGGCGGGTGGAGAGGCTGTGGGGGGGCAGTAGTAGCATCCAAGGAAGGAGAGGAGGAAAGGACGGGGAGGAGGGGGAGGGAAGAGGAGAGGAGAGGAGGCGCTGTGGTAGAGACCAACAGCCGCACAGAGCCGGCGCTCACACCCTTGACAGTCAGCCCACCTACTCTGTCCTCCTTCTACCGGCGTTGGACACAAATTGAACTTTTGGAACGTCTGCTGCTGCTGCTGCTGCTGCTGAAGGTGAGTCCAGCTCTTCAATGTCTTCCTCACCCCGGTGTCTCTGTCTCACCTCCGCTGCTCGTCGCCGCCACAGTTTGGCGCACTTGTTACAGACTGTGCTTTGAACACGCGGGCTGCAGAGCGCACCTGAATACACGAGTGTCAAATTAAAGCGTGGAGGTTAGAGAGAGGTGTAGGCACGACTGGATGCTGCTCCGGGTTCACTTTATAATGAGCAGAATATTAAACAACAGTTTAAGACAAGTGATGACCCAAACAGTAAAAAACATTGTGTCGAAAAATTATATATAATAATTTGAAGCTTCCAGTCTGGTATAAGAACATATAAATAATTGCTGAAAAATTAGTATTTGCATTTGTTTGTTTTTTCCAAACTTATATCATTATAATCATTTTATTTTAATTGAACGTCCTTGGTCCATTTGGAATACTGTTTTGATAAATATTTTCCACCCATTTTCTTTCTTTCTTTTCTTTTTACCACATTAATTACACCACTTGATTATAACCATTTCCGGGCTGTTTCCCACTTCATGCAACAAGAAGCTGGTGTTTTTATTTGGACTCCTGTGTCTCACAACTACTGGGATAATACAAATGTTTGTTAGAATGGTAAATGTCTTTGTTCAGGAATTTAAATGCTGGCCTATGAACTCACAACACTTGCTGTCCAGTGTGGATATGACACGTAGTGTAATACCACTTATTTTACATTTGTGTGCTGTTTGGCTGCTCAAAAAAAAAAAAAAAAAAAAAAATCACTACATTGTGAACACACCCTTGGACAAGCAGCTGGTTTCAGAGCCTTTAAAAAAGAGAGAAAAAGTGTCTTAGAACTGACATGTATTCATAGTTAAAATTTAATCTAACTCTAACATTTTATACAGTGCTCAAAGCTACAGAAAATGCACTTTGAACTAGTCTTATGTTATGTTGCCATAAAGAGGAGACAAAACATCTGGACCGGTTCAAACCTATCAAATAACTCCATGCATTTTTGTACAGAGGAATAGTGGTTGCAGTTTAAATGCAGAATTTTAAGTATAGTTTAAAACAGACACGATGCAGGTGGACTATATAAGCTATATATGAGCTCTAACTATAGAAATAAACCTTATTGCACAGGGAAATACATTTGACCTCTGTAACATTGAGAAGAGATCTCACACCATACTCCCTCACTCACTCAGCCATTTCCCAGCACTGTGACTTACCCATCACACAGAAGTGATCTCAGCATGCTTATCTAGCCTTTTCCACTCAACACTGAATCACACCTTGTCATCCAATGTGCTGAGTAGCATTATCTCCCTTCCCCTTGTCAAAAGATGTATGCATTTTATATTGCATGTGGTGTGATAGGGCTGGTGGCGAGGGGGTCGGGAGTGTCTGTGTGATTCAAGATAAAAGTAAAATTTATGGGACAAACACAAACAGTAGGTCTTGTGTTGAGCAGAGTGTGGTGCTAAAAAGTCAAACATTTTGAATTGAAATTTTGTTTGGCAAAAGGATGGTCACAGGTGAACTTTTCTTATGAAAGAAATTATAGTTTATCTCTGTATTTTGTAAGGCATTGACACTTAAAGTACATTTTTAGTAAGCTTTAATCATTACCCCCTACACCCCAAAAAAGCTAATTAAATGTGTCATAAAAGTGTGAGTAGGTGCTCAGATCTGTCTTGTGAACTGCAGACAAAAGTTCAATCATTAAAATTAAAATGTGCTGAAGTTAAAGCAGTTCATATAGAAGGAAGACAATGCAGTGTCCTAACAAAGAGAGCTTCATCAACATGTTGGTGTGTTTGTATGTTTATGTGTGTTCTGGCAAAGCAAATTCCCACAGCAACATGTTGTGTATGCAGGAAAGCGGAGAAATGTGATTACTTTGTTGAGGCTTCAGCCTTTGTGGCTGACGCAGTGACATTTCATTCTTTGTTGAATGAAAAACTAATGTTTTCGCTGTCTGTATCTGAAGATTTCTTTTCCACAGTTATTGTAATTGCTTAATATTACATGCTGTTGTGAGCGTGGCGTGACATTAGCATTAATGATGGGACTTCAGTGGGTGTGATTAAAATCACATTAGAGTGGCATTTAAATCTAAGGGATGATGTTGTGGCTCTTACCTTTAGCTTTGGTAATTACTTGGGATGTGGATGCTGCAGTTGGTAATGCATGGCTATTGTGGCAAGTCCCCGAATATAAATATTTAACGCTATGCAAATGGATCAAACACACGCTGATGCAAAAGTGTGAGGGATTTTGTTGTTGGTTTTCCTCAGTGTTGTATCACATTGCCGATGATGCCTTTGAGGGATTCCCTGGAAAACAGAGAGAACTTACACATTATATTATTTCTTTGAAATGCTTATTTCCTTTAGCGCTCTCTGCATTGTTTCTTTCAAACAAATTCTGCAACACAGCTTTGACTGTTTTATTTTTTATCAAAAACAAACTTTGTACTCAATATAAGGGGTCCTCTCCCAGCACTGGAATTCCACTCCTATGGTGTGATGTAACTCAATTTTTTATTATAGTATGTGCACCATGCTCACATACTGTACATCAGTACCTAGGGCACTCACCTACTAACACAGTGGTAACATCATAATCTAGAACATAAAAACATCAGAAGAGTCTGACTTATTCTTTGGAGCCATAATAAATGGGAAAAAGTTTCCCAAAAACAACAAAACAAAAGAAAGTGAATGTAGCACAATCCAATGTATGAGGTACAGCGTATGTTAACAAGGTACAGCGTATGTTAACAAGCATATATCAGCATATATGTCGCCATGGGACAACACAATGGTCCGCTCTGCTCGCCAACTAGTTTCTGTGTGTGTTGTTTTAACACAACATGTCAAAACGATGGAGCTAGACTTTAATTTAATTTATGAAATAAATTTATGGAAGATGGATCTGTTACCACAAAACGCCCTAGGTCCATAGCATCATAAACCGAGGACCTGCTCTAGTAGTAAAAATTCTCTCACTATTACTAACCATTCCCGCGTTTGTTTGTTTTTTTAGCTCATGATAGTGATCTAGCTGCTGCTTAATAGAAACCCCACAGACCCTCTGAAGGTCAGACTGACTCCATTAGTCACTGTATACATTTTCAGTTTCTATTCCACAAAGGGAAATTCTATTTTTGCCCTGAACTGCTCGTCCCAACGGCAAGTACTACACACACGTGTTCATGTAGCTAGAATTATCACAGGTAAGCTGCCTAAATAAAATTTCTGGGTTAAAAGTGACAGTCTCCAGCGGCACCTGTCATCAAACGTGGTCCCCAGCCACTCTGTATTCAGGGCAGTGGTGCTTTGTGTGCAGAAGTAGGTCGGATGCTTCTCACTAAACAATTTGAGCAAGAGCCCATAATTGGACAGGCAAAGTGTCAGCCATCTCCCTGCCAGTCATTGTCAGCCAGTTCACTCTGCTTAAAATGCAGGTCCGATCTGGAACATTTCACGGACATTTCCTTCTTTTTTATCATTTAGATTACAAAGTGCAGAAAACAGAACATCCTTTGTAGCTGCGGGCAGCTTCGTTCACCACTAGCCAGAGGCTGGCATTTTTGAAACAATAACAAATAGCACAATAACAGCCAGTTATGTTAACTGTTAGGATCAAATTTCCACCTGCACATCAATGAGCAGAGTTGTTTTTGGCTGCCTGTGCTGCACACTGATAGGAGGATGAAAGCACCTGAGTGTGTACCATGCTGTTCAGGATCATGTTCACACAGAAACCTCAGCCTGGTTCTAAGGCAGCAGGATCATTGGGAATCAAAAAGTGTTTGTCTTTACTTCTTAAACAGGTGTGTACCTGTGGTTCTACAGATATTCTTGTGTTTACATTGAGTGTGTTCACTCAGTACATTGGCCAGTGTACAAGTCAGTAAGAGGTCGAGGTTGAAAGTGAAAAGGAGAAAGGAGAGACACAAAGAACCCTTTCTTCCTGACCAGGTTCTATACACCTGGCCTTGTACTGTTCAGGTTGAAAGATGTGCAGTATGCAGGCACTCAACCCCCCCCCCCCCCCCCCCCATCCCACAGTAGGAGTTGATAATGTACAGGCAGAGTGAGAGATGGGCACGTATCAGGACTAATTAGATTTGGTGCTCATTACCTTTTTAATTTCAAACCTTCCATGAAAATTACAGCTTCAATAATATTTTGCAGCCATCAACCCACACAATTTTCATCTTTATCTTCTCTGGTGATTTCCATAAGCTTCAGCACCAACTCCTGAAGATAACTCATTTAACCAGCCGGATGGTGTTTCCATACCTAATCTATTCAACCCTATCTCATCTTTGCTTTTCAAAGCTCATAATACTGGGTGTGATCCAGCACACCCACTCTTCCAATATGCTTTTAAGATTTGGGAACCACTCCCAAATCTTTTTGGCTGTGCACCCCCACGGGTTGATGCACCCCCCAAAAACGCAACAAGATTTCTTATTTTTAGTTGTGCTCAAATGACCAGAACACACATTTACACACTTTTTTTTTTTTAAATTTACAACATAAATATTTACAGGCCTTTGAACACAAAAACACAAAAAACAAATAACACCAATCACTTTTTTTGAATCTTGGACAACCCCTACTGACAGCTCCAAACTTTGGGAATATCTGTTTTAAGTAGACTTTCCTTTATTTTTCTGAGCCTTGTACCAAAAGCCATAGAAACGTGGGACAATTCTTCCTTGCTTTCAAAGAGAAATCAAACTGTGAGTGTTTTGTTCTAGCTTTATTGTTTGAGCAGTGCACAATACATTTTTTTAGTTTGTTTAAACAGTCCTCACAGGTGGAGTCTGAATTTACTAAGTGTGTAGCGCCTACTGAACACATATTTGTACCGCTGTAAAACACTGTCCTTGTCTTATCAGTGCACATTCAGTTTGGTGGATGCATCTCTTATCAGCATCAGAAGTGTAATTTTAGGCTGTAATTCAGTCCATTGGATGGAATGGAGAGTGTGAAATGGCT